AAACCGAACGTAACTAACCTAACGAAACGTAACGTACGTACGTTATTAAGTAACTAACTTAACTTTACTTACTTACTACACTAATATATATATACAAATATATATATATATCATATATATACACACACACACACACACACACACACACACACACACACACACACACACACACGGTGGTACTTTGTTACGGCAGCCCCAGGAAACTAACACACATGACTACATGTGTTTGTCAAAACTTGCACTTAAAATGGGTGATGAGTATTCTATGTAAATTGTATCTCAATAGACCCGATTAAAAACAAGGGCATTAGAAGATGGATGCTGGGGTAAATCTATCATAATCTCCTAACCAGCACCCAGAGAAGTCCAAGACGTGCTCCTTTCCCCAAAAGCTTGAGTTTGAGATGTGCTCTCTGTTGGCTGAAGTGAAATACGATTCCTGACCTACAGGGAGAAGGAAGACAGTGGAAGGATCTGGAGGAGGCAGAGTTTATATAGTTTCCCTTCACTCTCTCCAGAACGGGCAGCAGAGGTGAGGTGGCAGTTTGAGAGATCCAGTTATTCTTTGTTTATTAAAGCTATGTATGTTACTTTGTGCAGTTTTCTGCTCTGTGTCACTTTCTGTATGGTTTTGCATTCAGACTCCTTAAGAGAGAGGCTATGACTGAGTTGGCAGCCACCGTCCTAGGATCATCCAAGGAAGACTCAGTTGGGTAGCTATGTCGTGACATGCCAGAATTCGGACTAATTTCCAGTATACACATTTTGTTTTACAGTCAAGGACCCAACCTTGTCTAATCCATTTCTTTGACAGAGTCACACCATCAAACACAATAACCTGTAAGGACTTCTGTGAGAAGGTGGCTGTGCTAGTGAGTAAGGCTCCTTCACTGGGATGCTCTGAACTTCCCTGAAAGGGGTAGTTTAACTGGCATGTATCTTGTGTGGCTTCATTAGCATAATTTAGAAAGCTCCAAGGATTTAACTTTCTGTCTCAGTGAGATTCCAGCTGCTATGAGACCCTCACATGGTGGCCCTTGAGAGCTTTGGCAAATTCCCCGGGGGAAAATCGTGGCTAATGTTCAGTCCTGTCTCTCCTCATCTCCCTGCAATGACTCATCTGAAGTTTAAGGGGCTCCGGTTCCAACTCAGGGATTGCAGGTCGCTGCTCCCTGATTCTGTAGGGCACTGTACAAAGGTACAGATTGTATTCTCTGGCCTGAGAAGGCATTCGGGGGTTCTGAGTGGACAGCAGACGAGGTCTTTGTGAACAGGAAGAGCTCAGGCATTGCGAGAAACAGGCTCACAGAATGCTAATTGCCACTGGGGATTATGACAATGTGTTGGGCATTTTGTTCTTTTCCCAAAGTGAAGGCTCCATGTGTGGTGACAAATACTGGTGAAGCCCTTTTACTTTAATTGCGATTCTGGAGTCTAGACTACCTTGCCTGCTGCTAGCTGCCATTCACCCTCGTTACAGCTTTTGCAAATTAGACAGTCACTCTGTGGGTGTCTCGTATAGGTGCAGGGAGCACATACTGCTTGGGAAAGAATACATTATTAAACTTACAGAGTGAGCTGTTGTGGGCACTGTGCCTCTGACCTGCAGTCCATATCTTCTGTCCCTCCTGTGATGAACTCAGGCTCCTCTAACATCAAAAACGGAGAAAGAAAAATCCAATGTTCATGTCTCAGCGTAATAGGAATAAAATGCTCACAGGCAATTTGTCAGCGTTTATTAACTGTGACCTAGAAAAATGTAACCATGGCAGTGCCTTCTCATACATGAGTGACGGGGATTCTTGTCTGTCATTGGCAAACAGGGCATAAGCGACCCTGTCTGCATAATGACACACAGGAAGTGGTCAGTGTCGATGGGGGGGGGGAGTCCTCTTTGTAGTGTTTCCTTGGAAAGCAACTAAAGACTGCTGCTGGCAGGTCTAGGGCCCCAAGGAGCCCAACACAACAGAGCCCCTACCATGCTGTTGGGAAACTCAGAAGAACTGGTTAGCAGATATTTAGGGCCCTGAGAGTAGGGGAATGGCTGAAAAGACCAGGAGCACTGCCCAGGGAGAGGAAAGAGGGAGAGAAGACAGAGGAGATATCACAAGGCCATCTGAGTGTGACTGCACGGGCTGCCAGTGACTCCGCTCAGGTTCAACCACAAAACAAAACAACACCCACGCGATCATTCCACCCCTTCCTCTGTGCTTTGTATGCGTCCTTGAGGGTTCTCTTTTAGTAAAGGAGTGTATTTGCCTGCCCTTCAAAGCACTAAATAACTAACATAACTAAGTAACTAAATAATAACCAGAGGGTGACTGCACTGTGGTCACGTTTTGTCAATTCCCTACTAGGGAGTTTGTGCACAGTTTACACTGGAACAGGGCCCTGGGAGAGCAGCACGTACCCGTGTTCTCAGCGGTTCTTTCATGTTGCCAAGAAAACACACAGGCTCCATCAGGTCACCTCTCAGTGAGTGAGCGCACATGCTATGGAAGGTCACGGATCTAGGAGACAAGGATGCACCCTCAGAAGCTGCCCTGCCAGGCAGTCCAGAGAGCCGGCGCACACAGCATCCAGGACACAACTGGCGCTCAAGAAGTTTACTGGCCGTTCTGTGTCCCCAGTGCAATTCTGGGAGTGGTTTCCTCGGAAGGGAGTTTTGGTTGTTTTCTCTAGAGCCATGTGGAGATGTCGCTACTCTTATTTTAGTATCTACTGCTTATGCTGTTCTGGGGGCAGTAAGTACAATGGTGATGGAGCCGATGAAAGTGGATGAATGAGCGCATCTGAAGACTGGAGGGAAGAGGACCCAGCAGACTTGTCTCTTCCCTGCTCCACGGCCCCCTGGCCTGGCCTCTCTCCTGCTGCGTCCCCACAGAGCACATAGCCCTCTTCCCTGCCTCTCTCAGAACCCCTTCCTGAACCAGGGACACACTGGCCATTTTCCCAACAAGCCACACCCACAAGGGACTCCTCGAGCCATTTCATTTAATCCTCACAAAACCCCTGGATCAGATCTAATTATCATTCCCAGTTCACAGGTTAGGAAAATGAAGCTGAGCAAGATTAAATAATTTGCCAGGGTCACAGGCTAGGGACTTGCAGCAATGAGATTCAATGTCAACTCTATCTGCTATGCTAATTAAGTAATTCTCACATTAAGCAAGTCAGTCTCAGATGCTACCTGTGTGAGCAGGACAGCCCCACAGCCCTCCTCTGTTGTGCCCCGTCTGCATCCTCCCAACACACACATCATTGGCCTTCTTGGTGAAGAGTGTCCTTCCTATTTCTCTGACCTCTTATTGGCCATCCAATAGCTGTTGGTCGCCTATCCGTTCACTGAAAAGTTTCTTAAACCTACTGAGAAATTCAATAGACATATTTCACAAAATACTAAGAGAAATGGGGTGGGGTCATATTTGAAATCAAAAAAGTGCTGAAGTAAACCACAGTATGCCTACAAAATGCAGTTCCCCCTCCACATGACCTGATTGCCACCTTTTGGTTAAATAAAATCATTTCTTACAGTTCGTGAGGCTTTCCTCTTCTTTTGAGTCAGAGCAGCAACTGTCACACCACAGCAAATTCAGTAAAGAGTTCACCAGTTTGTTGTTTACATCCTTGAACAAGCATCCTCTCAACTGAAAAAAAGAAAAAAATCAGATGTTTACTAACATGCTCATAGAATAAACTGGCAAGCAAAAACTGATGGACATCATCGGAATTACCACTTTAATAATTTTGCAACCAGATGTTTGCCTTATTTTTCAGACATTTGATGTTCCTTGTCTTAAAAGACATTCAAGTTTTAGATATATTTTAAATTACAAATGCTTCTACTTTGTCTTAATAAAATTCAATAAATATCTGTTGAGTGCCGG